GTGTGTCAGTTAACCCGATGTAGTATTTTGTGTCATCATTTGAGTGGACAGTGGCTTTGTAGATGATGGATGAGGTGAGGCAATTTCCAGAGAGTGGACATTCATCTTTTTTCCTGCAATTGCAGAGTTTATCTGGCTGTTGTTGCTTAGCAACCAGAAGCTGTTTGTTGTGGGCTCTGATTATACTACCCATGTTTCTTGAGCAGCTATAGCTGACTTTAACATTGTTCTTGTTGAACAGCTTGTGCAAAATGTTGCCACTCGGAAAATGTTTCTTTACAAGGTTAAGGAATGATTTTCCGATGTTGGTTTTAACTCCTTTGCTGAATGGTGGGTTGTACCAGATTATTTGTCTGCTTCTATTACTTTTTTGGGATTTTGGTTGCGGAGGTTGGTATTCAATTTTGTGCTGGAATCAGCTGTTTTGCAGAGCTTGTTCGTAGTCGGGGGCGGCCTGATGAAATGATTCACTGGAATCCGATATATTGGATATGCGTCTGTTAATGGATGCGGGAATTTGTTTCAGGATAGATGGGGGATGGTTGGATTTGGTGTTGACGTAGAGTAGTTGGTTGTTTGGTTTGCTGTAAGGCTTGAAGGACCCTGTTTTTTAGGCTGAGTGTAACATCGAGGAAGTTGGTGGTGTGGATGTTCGCCTGTATGGTGATACGGAGGTCGAATGCGTGGAAGATGGATATAATAGTTTTCTTCATTTTGTCGCATTGCCTTGGTAATAGACTGTTCATGACGGCGAGGCCATCATCTCGGTAGAGACCGACGTTTGTTTTGCCGAGTATTGGGATGAGGGAGGAGAGGACGAAGGATCCGACAAGTTCGCATATTTCGGCCCCGTCGAAGCTCCCCATAGTAACGTCAAACATGTCATCCGAGTTTTTCTTGGTCCATGTTGAATTGTTACCAAACAATACTGATTTTCGTGAGTTCATGATGATATCTGCTGCGTGTTCGGAGATGCTGGTGTGCTTTCGTACGTACTGGATCGCATCTGTTAACAATTTCTTAGTGATGGATGGGTAGAATTCCACGATGTCAAAGGAGATGAATGTGCTGCTTGATTTGTATGGGATATGTTTAAACCATTCTGTGACAGCAGCGGTGTTTTTCCATTGGTTCATTTGAGTTTTTGTGAGCAGGTCACGGTTTATCCGGTCGAGGATGGTCTTGCTTACGAGTCTGGTTTCTGATTTTGATGGGCCAGGGGAGGCCTAACTACTTCCAGTGGTGGTGCCAAAGGGCGAGAGGCTGGGGTGGCTATAGCCCCTCCCTCATGCGGTCGGGAAAAACGAGTAAATCTTGTCGTTGAATGAACAAAAAATTTTTATATACTGTATGTAATGTTTGTTTAGCCACCATATTATTTCATTAAACTATTTGTGTTAACTTTTCATCACAAAAATAATAAATAATAATAATAATAATAATAATAATAATAATAATAATAATAATAATAATAATAACAATAATAATAATAGTAATAATAATATAATAATATTAATAATAATAATAATATTAATAATAATATTAATATTAATAATAGTTCAATGAGACTAATTAAAAATAAATTGCATTCAGTTACCCACTAAGCACGTTTATTTGGAGGTCGTGGGTTTCATTATACACGATTTACCTGCAACATTCCTTTTAGAAGTATTTTTGGATGTACAGTACTGAATATACAACAGAAGAGTACAAGAGATTCGGCTTAAAATAATTTACTGAGTTTAGTTCATCAAAACCCAACTCAGACAGCGCCGTACGACACAACCTTTGACATATCATCATGAGAATAATAAACTTTTAATATGCTACAATGTGACCTTCCCCAATGCACACCTATTGCATCAGCGTTTAACTTGTAAAGACCCCCAACGTAGCAACAAACTTAATCCCTCAGGCTGCAGCATATGAGATTAATCAATTTACCTTTTGGTTTTTTAAAACATATTACCAAAAATAAAGTTGATATTAATGTTTTCATGTACATTGTGTGTTCAGTACGAGAGTCCTTGATGACAGCATCAAAAAAAGTATGCAGTTTAGCTGATCGAAAGTGAACAAATATAATTTCCGAATTATAAATTGCCATAGAAGTGGTTGACGCATCGGTCGTGGCTTGGACTCCCAACCTTAAGTTCGGAGGTTCGAAACTCTCGCTGTGCAAGTCGCTTGTTTCCTTGGGCAAGGCACTTTATGGTTGTCTCTCTCCACCCAGGAGTACTAGTGGGTACCTGGTAGGTTCAAACAACCATACGCTGATTACAGCTGCAACATTATGGGGCATGAGTGTTGTGTTCCATGTTCTTGATCCAGTGACCAGGGTAATAATGTAAAGCGCATAGCGGTTAGTCTACAATATTATTATACTAATGTCTGTTCATATATAAACAACAGTAAAATATTTTTTTGTGTCATTTTTTATTGCACTGTTATCATCTTAAAACTGTTCCTTTAATCACTTTTGATTAAATTTTTCCATATTTTTTATAGTAGTGTGACACAAGTTCTTCCTTGATATCTATTCGTTCAAGTTTGTTCAGTGCATCGCTAATTGTTTTCAGATGATTTACTTCAGTTTCCTGTCTGCTTCGCCACTGTACCAACATTTCAATACACGCATCTACAATCGGTGGAGAAACGTCAGCTGCAATTCGACTTATTTCATTTTTTTCCATACCAAGGTAGATGCCGAATTTTATCAAATCATTGCCATCAAGTTTGTCAGAGATGAACACCATGTCAGTATCATCTAAGCAACCTGAAATAGAACATAATTTCCAATAATAATACTGTATAGACAATTAAATCCTCTTAAACTTATAAACTGTGACGTCTCAGACAGAATAATACACATAAACCAATAACAAAATTGTTAAACTGTTCTTTCATTGAAACCAATAAACTAGGACTATTTTCAATATCCGAGATTCACCCCATGCCTGATGATAATGTACTACATATAAATAAAAAAAATACTCTATGTGGCCGATATTTTCTGCATTCACTGACCTGTATTGTATAAAGTTGTTATTGAAATATTAGTCTGAGCATAATATTATATAGGACTTAATGGTCTATTAGAAATAATGAATTTTGAAAATACAAAACTTGTAATAATTAAAATAATGTTATGTGTTTACAAAATTCATTATTAATAATTTTGAAATATATCTCTTTGTATAAAAGAGCACAAAACATGATGTATCGGAAATTTCCTAGCAGTTTCTCAGTTGGTGCGAAAATGGTAGGCCAAATTAATTTGGAAAATAGCAGTATTTTTTATTAGATGTTTACTAACCTTGCACTGTTGTTGGAATTTGAGGCATATTTATCTGAGTTGGTGCAGCTTCTGCCTCGTCATTGTAACCATGCCTTCCACATACACTTTGTGCAAGTCCAACAAGCTTTTGCTGCCTTAAAGCTTTCAACAAGATTGGTACTTGTTGGCTCTTTAATTGGTCATCCCTCCAAGTAACCAGCAATTCCATGATGCATTCTTCGATCAGTCTGTTGTTTTTTGCTATCTTTTTTATATCGGTCCACTTGAGTCCAAGATGCACTCCCAGTCTCCTCCATGATTCGGGATCCAGATTGTCACAGATGAACAGCAAATCTTGATCATTAAAACATTTTCCTACTTAAAAATAATAGAGATTACACAGTGAGTAAAAAACACTTTATAGTTAATGACGTCATTGACACTGGTGTGTACTGTCTGTTACTTTGGTAACAAAATAGAAATAAACTATAGGAAAAAAAATGCAAGGTTAATTTCTGAAATACTTGAGATACGTACCTGCTTGTTGAGGGACAACATTTTCATCGCTAATTTCACCCTTAAGGAAATCTTCAGCTAGTTGACGTAGCTTATGTTGTTTCAGAGCAGTGCACAACACTTTACGTTGATGAATATCGCTACTGAGGCTGCTCCTCCAGTAATTCATCATATTTTCGGCAGCCTTATGAGTCTGCGTATCATCGGCATTGAACTTGTTCACTTTCGACCACTTAAGTCCCAAACGGACACCAAACCTTCTCCAGCTGAGATTTAAATCGTCAGAAACTGTCATAATGGTGGCGTCATCCACAAAGCCTATCATACAAGATAATTATTACTTGAAAATGTAATTATCCCAACTGTATCTGACATGAGTTTTAGACACTCCATTTAAAAGAAAATTAAAACTTTCACTAAAAAAAAAAAAAAATTATACCAACGCAATTGACCCATGGTCTCCCAAAATTTCAGTACTATTTTTTTACTTTCTGTTTATGCATAATGTTGTCGGTTTAAAAAACCGAATATACGAAATAAGTGACTGGAGATTCGGGAAAAATAATAGCATGAGCTCTTTTAAACCATTATCCAGCAGAGTACAGATGACTTTTAAAACCGGTTAGTTGCAACAGAACATTTGTTTTCAAATAAACCAGCACCATCTTCATCAGATATAAAGTAAGTGATTCGTTATTGAAAAAAACCATAAACATACCTGTTGTAAATCGTGTTTGTAAAATGTAAAACTTATACAAAATTTGTTTAATTTGTGTAACTTATCGATGGACACATTATTATATATAAAACGTGATTGTCCCAATGTGTTAGTTTCATGTCCAGGATTTAAAATTATTTTTGGTGAAGTATTTACTGTTTGCTATATACTATCCTATATACTAATGGTAAACAGGCTGATAAATTTAATATAATTTTTTAATGAAGTAAAATGAATCTTTGTAATGTTTTTCTTCCATTTTTGTTCCCACTTCTTCTTAGGCTTGATATCATTTTTTCAGATAGTCATTATTTTTATTGTTCTTGGAAAAAAAAAGAACATTTTTTTGAAAAATAGCAAATATTATTTCTTTTCTTTTTTTTTTTTTTTTGATGAGGATGGGCACGTGAAACTAGCAATCAATTTTATTTAGCCTTAAAATGATTAAAACTTTCACAAAAAAAAAAAATGATACCAACGCAATTTATCCCTGAATACCCAAGTTTCAGTACTTTTTTCACTTTCTGTTTTATGCATAATGTTGTTTAAAAGACCGAATAAATAATGAAATAAGTGATTGGAGATTCAGGAAAAATAATAGCATGAGAATAAATTTTAAACCATCATCCAGCAGTAAAACCGGTTTGTTGTAACAAAACATTTGTTTTCAATAAAACTAGCACCATCTTACATCAGATATAAATCTTTTAGTTTCTTTTAGTTGTTTTTCTTTCTCATTGAACGTTTCAAATTGTTTTGAGCCACTGAAACAAAAGTGTATGTTCAGTTGAATAAATATAAAGTCTGTGATCCATTATTGCAAAAAAATCCATAAACATACCTGTTGGTATATGTACCACTTGTTGAGATTGTGGACGATCTAGAGAGTAATGGAATAATACATCAAGACCGAATAAATAATGAAATAAGTGATTGGAGATTCAGGAAAAATAATAGCATGAGATTAAATTTTAAACCATCATTCAGCAGTAAAACCAGTTTGTTGTATTAAACAAAACATTTGTTTTCAATAAAACTAGCACCATCTTACATCAGATATAAATCTTTTAGTTTCTTTTAGTTGTTTTTCTTTCTCATTGAACGTATCAAATTGTTTTGAACCACTGAAACAAAAGTGTATGTTCAGTTGAATAAATATAAAGTCTGTGATCCATTATTGCAAAAAAATCCATAAACATACCTGTTGGTATATGTACCACTTGTTGAGACTGTGGACGATCTAGAGAGTAATGGAATAATACATCAAGGTAAAACACCACATTACCTTTAATAACACAAGTTGTTCGTAATTGTTCAACCTTGCTTTAATTATGATCATTTCACGTTGGCCCTTCTTTTTTGATATCTATTATTTTCTCTCATAACAGAGCTTACGAGGAATAATTTTGCACAGGATTTTTATATAGAGCAATGCAGTAGGATACTATGTCGTTTGTTTCTGTTTAACAATTGTTCAACACATTACCTTTGATAACACCTCAAGTTGTTCCTGCTTGTTTCTTTTTTCGATTTCATGTTATTTTCTCTCATAGCAGAGCTTATGAGGAATAATTTTGGTAGGGTTTTTATAAAGAGCAAATCGGTAGAATACTATGTCTCTTGTTTTTGTTTAAACATTTGGCAATAGGCAGTAACATGTTTTATATTGTAACATTTTACAGACACCGTCTTTTTTGATTATTTTGATTGTTTAATTTCTTTCCAAATAGATGTACCAAAGCAGAACTGAATGACATAAATATGCATTACCTTGCAATAGTGGCACGTCATCTCCAAATAGTTTCCGGTAGCGCGTCAATATATTGCTTCCACATGGCAGCACATCCTCATCAAATGTACGCACGATTTGCATGTGAGCTCTACTTGAGTCTGAACTGCATTTGCAAGCAATGTACCTCGTTAATTCAATGCCTCGTACACCACTAAGACAAAACAGCTTTAGTTCCTTTTCGAGGAATCTCAGTACCTGGAGCAGATGAAAAATATAGGTTAAATAATTAATGTATTTTAAAGAAAATAATACAATTAAACCATTATAACATTCAAATAAATTTTTCAAAGTGTCTCAAATCAATGAAAGGGGTACAGTAGTACGTACCTTCTTACACACTGTTGGTGAGGGCTCATCTTGCTGACTGGGTTCCAAGATTGCGATCGTTGTCTAGAAAACATAACATTATTAAGCCTCCGTCATTTGAAGACAAATATGATTTTGATACTCTACTGCTTTCGTTGCAGTTATAGAAGTTTTTTTCTGTATGTTTATATTTCACACTGCAAAACAGTATTGCATTTACATATAGTGCTGTATTTATATATTTTTAATGATTTATGATTGTTGTGACGACGATGTTTATGGTCATGCTGCATTTTTGGCCATTAACAGTAATGGTCCATGGCACCCGAGTTTTTGGGGAAAAAAAGTCTGGTAATAAATCCTGCTGGTTTGTTGAAGAGCGATAGGTTCTTCTTATTATTATAAATCATTATTTCCATGAGATCATTACGTTTAGAAGTGAGTGATTGTAATGTGTTTCTTGTTTACATTCCGATATGTTGCTGGCCAGGAACTCTGATGTTAACTCCCAAAGGACATTCTTAAAACCGATTAACTTATGGGGCTGCTGGCAGCTCCGTCTCGACCATCTGACAGCTCACTCTCGGCCACCTGACAGCTCACTATGGACCATTTCTGCTAACAGAAACTTTTGCCTCATCATAGTGGCGTAGATAATGTTATAGTGGCATTGTTGATTATTAATTTTATTGCGGCATTTGTCTGAAATGTGTAGTTCAATGTGTATTGTGTTTGTATACTTATATAAACAAATTCAGAATACTATTTTAACCATTATGTATAAACTTTCTATTCATAATAAAAGTAATGAAAATAATATTTAAAAAAAATTAAAAGTATCACAATAGTTGTACTTACCTTAAACATACGACGATTCCTGATTGTTTCTACACTCATAACCACTTTGTGAAGTTCATCGATAGTCAACTCCACATGCTCATAAGAGAGTTTAGGCTCATTGTCTTGTACTTGGAATTTCTCAATGAACTTAGTTACTCCTCGCTGGAAAAGATCATCAGGTAGATACCGACCGAAGTCATGAAAAATTGAAATTGCATGCTTCCCATCATCCTTAGAGGGCCTATAGACATGCTCAGGCTTCAATCGTAAAAGAACATAGAAAATACGTCTACGTTCACGTAGAATCTCTTGTAAACGGCCTCGAAAACCACTCTGGAAAACAATAAGAATACTACGTAGTGTAACGTTTTCAGAAAAAGGTAATATTTTAAACAAGTTCATGGTATGATACCGTAATTGTAATTTGTTTATATCATCCGAGATTGGTGTTATGAAACAGACTACAGGTAAACTTCAGCTGTTTTACATGCCAACTTGTTGTGTTTTCCAATAGTAATTTAGTAAATTTGACTTAGATCTGTAAGTCAAATTTTATGCAAGTCGATCCATTTTGGATTCGACTTGATGGCATGTTCAACTGTAATTTACAAAAAAGAAAAGTCTCCCTCTAATAATATTGGTCTTTAGCAGCTCTGGTATTTAATTAAACTAATATATAAAAGACATTTATTGTCAAAAGTGATTTGTATTTGGAGGGATACCTGTATATTTAAAATTACCTTTGTAATGTTTTTCTCACACACCAGTCCAAACTTCTGCATGAGTGATACAAAGAAGTCAAACGTCTCATCTGAAAATCTGAACTTCTCCCAGAGATGTCTTAACAGATGCTCCTCGAGAACCCCTGAGTCCAATTTACTCCAGGCCTCTTTGTACTTTCGTTTCTGAAATTACACCATTTTAACTTTTTAAAATAATAATAATAAAAACATTCCTGATGATGAAATAATTAATGTCGAAATATTGACATGCATTTCGAGTATGTATTATACTATCTTGTCTGAGAAAATAATAGAGTTCCAACTTGTTCCCATTTGCCATGTTGCCGATCCCCAGAAAGTCTAGACCTCAGGTTGAGAACTGTGGTTCTAAGATAATATGATGATGTGAATTTAGCTCACCATAAGCTTAGGGTCAATAACGGTGATTATTGTTTTGAACATGTCAACTAATTGCATCAGATCTAAAACAATAATATCCCTTAAGGCTTCGTCATCAGGAAAGTAGAGTATCTCGCCAAGGTCATGTAGATACTCAAGCAGCACCCTTTGAGCATCTTTCTTGACTCCACACCGCTCAACTAAAGAGATCACCTAATAAAGAAAAAAAACACTCAAGATTAATGGTTTTAAACAAGTGTAGAAAGAGATAGAGAAAACTCACAAAGACGGTATACAGTAGTGTATTCACAAATCAGTGACAAATTTATTAAATTATTTTTTTAACTGGAAGATGATGCTTGATAGTTCACTTTTGGGGCGTTCCTCTCTGTTCTTTTGTGCTCGTTTCTTGCTGTCTGCCCAAGGACACAAGCAAACTGCACAGCGAGTAATTGAACCTCCGACCGCAAGGTTAAGAAGCAGAAACACAACCCCAGCGCCAAATCGCACTTTCTGTAAATTATCAAATGTCTACCTTCTTGGTTGGTAGATAGATATGCTTTACTTTCAGCTTCTGGATTTCCTGCTGAACAAGTAACCATTTCAAAGGTAGTTTTCTAACCATCTTCTTTGCGAATTTTAATATTTGCTCCATGATTTTAGAAGCGTTGCTCCTGTTGAATGGCAAGCTGTTCTCAATAGCAAAAAAAGTTGGGAACACCAATGCTTCATAAGGTTTTCCTTCCATAGCTGCCCGAATTTTACTGAATATTTCTTCGGCCTACATTAAAAAAAACATATGATTAGTAGTAGTAAAAGCATCAATACCAATGACGATGAAAATAAGTATTTACTGTATGAGTGTAAATATAGCACGCAGCATTATCTGATGGCTGAAGGCCCTAGCCGGGGGTGGGTATGGAAGGGGTTGCCTCCTGCCAAACCAAGATTTAAAACAAAAATTGGGACTTCTATGATGGCTGCCAATGGTCGATTCACCATTGTTATGTTCTGCTTGACTGATCAGACCCAGACGAAGCGATTGCCGAGACAGATTTGGCTTGGCGTAGGCAGTACAGTACTGGGATGCGAAAACTAAAACTTTTTTTTTTTTTTTTTTTTAGGTCCGACTGCCCAACAAGCTTTTGCTGATGGGGGAGGGTGGCTTGACCAGACCGATGGGGGGTGCTCAAGCCCCCTGGCGCCGCCCCAGGTTGGGCAGTTGTATAGTGAAGGATAACTTGCAGGTTTCAAGAAGGAAATGTACTGTAGGAAAAACTAAAAAATAGTAATTGCGTTTAACATCCTTTTATAATGCGGTTTGCTAAAACCGTCAGATAGAGATAAAATCAATGTCAATGTAAAACGCACAGTAAGGGCAATAAATAGCGAATAACCCAAATTTAGGGCCTTAAACACAGGCCTTAACAATGCAGTATAAAACCCAGGCCTTAACAATGCAGTATAAAATTATACCACGGAAATTGCTTCATGAATATACTTTTAAGTATATTAATAAATAAATAAATGCCTTAAAAGGCATTAATTTATGGAGCGTAACAGATTACCTTCAAATTTTGTTTGTCTTAAATTTGTTTATGATAAATATTACTTGCTGTCGGGTTGTTTACATTGTGCATGACGTAGTTGTTTACCTTTCTTTTCTGTTCCTCTTCATTCCCATCGAGGCTGCCTAAGTGCGTACCAATAACTAGTACTGGCGGTGAAGGTTGCCCATCATCCAATTTTGAATCTCTACTGTTTGTGTATACTGAACGAATCCAGTAAAGAATGAACTGAAGATTTGTCATTCGATGTTGATACATTTTACCCTGAAATACAAACAAATAAATAAAATATTGTACATATTAATATATTCTGAGTCAAATATGATGAGAGTTGTACTCCCCCTGGATGGGACATTAGTCCTTCGCAGGTTAGTCCCCAGCAGTTTGCTGGTACCCATTGATACAGCTGGGTGGACTGAAGCAATGTAGCCTTACCCAAAGACACAAGCGAATCTGCACAGCAGAGACTCGAACCTCCGACCTTACAATATATTTATATATAAAACAAATAATATATATATATATAAAACAAATAAATATTAATTTATTATTTATAACACTTATTGCTTACTGTGGTAGGATCCCTAACTTTAGCAGGAGCGTCAAGATCATCTTCTAGGTTAAATACCACACAAACAATGGCAAAAGATACCATGAAAATCTACGAGAAAATTATTCACAAACAGTTAATCGAAAAATGAATGAAATAGCTAGAATTTTTTTTTTATTTTGTAACCACTATAATTTTATTTTATTTATTATAATGAATTTACTCTTTGTATCACATGATATATCGGCTGGCCTCCGAAGTCCCAGATGTTCATAATAAATTTGTTGCCAGACTTTCGCCAATCTCCTGTCGCATCTCTTGTAAACTTGAGTACATTCTGAATTTCATTGGCGATACTTTCTGGGACCTCTTTCATCTGTCTGTGACTGATGTTTTCTGGCCTCATCTGTGTCTTTGTCTGTTTTTCGATATCCGATTCTATTTTCGCGTTTCTGGCGTCAACATTCGATGATGATTGCCCTTATGTAGAAGAATAAATATAAAAAGTTTAAAAAATATATAATTCAAAACCAAAGAAGTTTTTCATTGACCCTTTAAGCTGAACATTTATAGTGAAGTGTCAGTGAGTCAGTAAGGGCATTTTTTTCGATCCTTTTCTCCTTTGAAGTTTTGAATGTACTATTCCAGATGATATTTTTTAGCAGATAACGTACTTTTAAAACTTTTAGTTTGCAAACTCGTTCATTCTATATGCCTCCATACCTGTACTTATGCTGTGATTTGAATTGTTTTACGATGTGCATTGGTAATAAGGCTATAGTGCCTTGTGGGAGCCCTTTGTGGGAAATATTGAATAAAATATAATGTGATAAAACTAAATTAATTTCTTAGGAAATAGCAAATGACTGACGCTGTGCGTCTTAAACTGCGATGGTGGATCTTCCCTGACATATGACTATTTCTACCCCTCCTGTTATATTCCTAAATGTCAGTCCTTACCCACCAACCAGAACGAAGACAAATGTCTTACCCTGATTGTATTTCGTTTCTGCTGTAGTTGGTGATAACACGCTCTTGAAATAAAATGTAAACAAAAATAATTAGAAATTAATAATTTCCATACTTCAGCTGTATTTTATTCATTAATTGTCATTATTAATAGCATTAGATATTCAAATAATTTTGAATTATATATAATAATTAAATATCACCAAATTGTAAGTGTGTACATCTCACTTGTTCTGTTACTTGAACTACATTTTTCTTCGTTTGGTTTTCTAATATTGTTTTCGCTATTGCATCTGCCATTTTCACTTCATACATGTCACTGGCGCCAGCTGTTGAGAGGAAGTATATCGTTTAATAGAATAATTTTCTATTTTTAGTTTAGTAATTAAATTTAAACTGTTCACTTTGAAAATCATGGTGATCTGCATATCTAATTAATGGGAGTAGCATCAGTGGTAACAATTACATTGTAGCTGTGGTAGGCCTACGGCTTTGCGATGGAAGTTTGCGCTATAAAAGGTTTTTTCAATTGATCGGTTGGCAACGACAACGCAGATGATGATGATAAAGATTATTGTTTGCTGTCATTGTCACCACCGCCACCATCTTCATAACCATCATTAGCCTATGTTTCTATTTTCTGATGATGATGAGATTAACACTAAAACGTCAAGCAAAAAATTAATGGTTGCTACAACAATATTGAATAGCCATCTATATCTAGTGAAGGCCTAAATCATAATATCATTATTAGTCACCATTAACATCGAAATCATCATTGCCATAAATCATGGTGATCTGCATATTTTACAGTAATCCCAATTGTGAAGAGAATTGACTTAAAACGAGTACAAATGTTTACACTCAACTACTTACAATGTTCAGGTGATGTCTCTTCCCAATTTAATTCATCATGCCATTCATGGGTACACACCGTTGTGTTCGCAATTGCATCAGTAATACCCTCGTTTGGATCAAAACTAAAGCAAAATGAAAATTATTGTTTTATTATTTAATTGGCATAGAAGATGCATAAGCCATAAGATAAATAAATACATTTTCACTACAGAATTTATAAATAAATATATAAATAAATGTGTGCAAATGTACTTAAAATAATGGATTAATATGATTGAATTGATACACTATTTTAAGTTGTCGATTAGGCCTATTGAAAGAAATACAAACGATTTGAATTACATGTTCCTTAACAGAGCATTACTTAAGGCTTCAAATTTGTCTGGTTAACTAACGTAGAAAGCAAATATTTAGCTTACATATTCCTTAAAAATGACTTGATAGTAGATGTCTTGCCGACCCTCTCAAGGCCCAGGAAAACTGTCTTTCCTTGATTAACCTCTGTTTCTCCCTCAGCTAGAGCATCATTAAAAGCTTCCAATGCTTCGGGCCCACGCGCCAAGATTTCCGTTGGAACAATCCCCGCTTTAAACATAAATAATTCTGATTTACAATGAATTGCCTCATAAAACTTGTTAAATATAAAAAGAAGAGGGGTTTTCACCAAATCATTCATCTGTATATCTTACGATACGATACCGTTCTCATTAATTCAATTGTGATTTTGCATATACTTCCTTAAAAAAATTATTTGTATCAATGGTTTAACATTTATTTGGTCAACCCCAGACTTGTGAATATGTAACCATAACAGTTTTTACCCAGATAAAAGCAAGTTTGCAAACAAAAACGTATGATTAAAACCTATTTATTCCAAGAGAGCTAAAAATTAGTCTTAGGGGCGATAAATTGGAGAACAAAGAAAATATAGGCCTATGGTTGTTGTTATATTTTCATCATTGAACAAATGTCTTACATTATCATATTTAATGTATGATACAAATTGAGCAAAAATAAAAATGCTGTGAAATATTTTAAAGCGCCACCAATAGGCTCCTGGATCGCTATAATCAAAATAATTAATACAGCTATAAAACAATATTTGGCGTCAGTGTATTAACGTAGGGCTCTTTAGCAAAAATACATTTATGCACTTAAAAAATAAATTTACATTTGGTGTTTCATGAATGTCATGCAAAATATACAAAATATGAATATTATACTAATAATATTAATTTTAAAGATGTCCCTTGCTAATATAAAAAAAATCATAAAAAGTTATTTTGAAATATTAACTTGCTCATATTGCAATAGCATACAAATAATTAACGTGGCATAAAAATTATTGAATTTAAAAAATGTGTACCCTGATTTTTAAACCAAAACGTTATAATAAAAATAATAAAACACAGTGACTGGAAGTGTTTCTATCATTTTTCGCTGTAAATTGATGGGTAGATATTTTTTAAATACACCAATTTCTATGTTTATGTTGATAACTTTTATGTCACTTTAAAATGGGCAAGTTAATTTAAAAAAATATTTTTATAATTTTTTTGTATTTAAAATGATTGATGAAACAACAAATATTAATTAAACAATTATGAACTTCTGTTCGTATGAACAGCTCACTTTGTAAAAGACGCATGAGCTTTTCTTTCAGTTTTCCTTTGTTTGTAGAATTGTACACCGTACATACGTTCTCCATATACAATTCAGCTGGTGTTTGACCACGCTGCAACGACAATCACAGATCATACCTCATGAATTAAATTAATATTAATCAAGAAAAACAAATGAATTAAGGTTTCCAAAAAATTAAACAAAATAAAAATCACAACAAAAATTGAATTGTTATAAATTTACATTCACTTTAATTATTCTTTTAATTATACATGTGCATCGTGTAGAGATTCATGTTTTACTAATTAATGGGAGTAGGATCAGTGGTAACAATTACGTTGTAGCTGTGGTAGACCTACGGCTTTGCGATGGAAGTTTGCGCTATAAAAAGTTTTTTCAATTGATCGGTTGGCGACGACAACGCAGATGATGATGATAAAGATCATTGTTTGCTGTCATCGTCACCACCGCCACCATCTTCATAACCATCATTAGCCTATGTTTCTATTTTCTGATGATGATGAGATTAACGCTAAAACGTCAAGCAAAAAATTAATGGTTGCTACAACAATATTGAATAGCCATCTATACCTAGTGTAGGCCTAAATCATAATATCATTATTAGTCACCATTAACATCGAAATCATCATTGCCATAATTAATTTCAGTATGCTCTATCACATCATTAATTATTATCAACAACATCATTATGATAATCATTGTCATCATTATTATCGTCGTCATCGTCTGCGTCGTCATCATTTATATACTTTACATTGTTTTTTAGGTTGGCATTTGCTCCAGCTTTTAAAAGGAGACTGGCTGCGTCTGTGTGATCTCGAAACGAATGGTCAGCTCGTAACAAGTCATGAAGTGGAGTGTTACCCCGCTATAACACAATTGAAACAACTGTTAATCAAGGACAGCTCATTAACGTACAAAGGATAGCATATATTGTGAATAAACAACAAATACAGTAATTGTTGCCAATCAAGATACACTTATCACATAAGTTCTGTAACCATTAGTAAAACTGATTTTTCAGTAATTTTTAAACAATTTTGTTTTGGTTGTGAGCTGCTTCTGTCACTCTGTCAAGGCATAATGATTGTTATTTTTTGCTCGTCAACCTTTTCGAAATTTCAACAACAAATGATCAACATTGATCGTAAAATACATTTAAAATACACAATAAAATATATTTATCGTGTGGATAATGATTTCAATATGTTTTAAGTTTAATAAATTGTAGTTGTTAGGTAAGAATTGGTGTAGATTGGTGAATGGTATGTTGTGTAAATAGATGCTGTGTTTTATTTTGTGTGTTGATGTCGGTTGTAATTGTAATGATACATAACTCAACTCACCACCAGCTCCACGTAGTCAACTCCTTCTGCCGTCGCTGACTTCAAACTCTTAGTGACGACATCACGTGGTGTGCTGTTTTCCGCAATCACATATAATAACGAGTAGCCGAGCTATGAAAACAACAAAATACGATAATAACAAAACACATTTAAGTTCACACATACACGAAATATCACATAAAAACACAACTTAATCACATCATAATTACATTTAATTATCACAATAAATCTAATATTCAAATATTACCAATTTAATAACAATTTAAAGCTAAATCATTTAAATTCGTAAATTTGATTGCTTTTCCCTTTTCTTTGAATTGATGAATTTATATTAATTTATATGAATTTTGTATTTTAAAGGCTCTAGATGTATTTCTTTTGTTTAAAGGTTTTAAAAGAATACAGACAATGATATGTTTTATCCACAATTTTACCATTTTATTCTAAACAAGAGTTTTCCCTATTCTTGTGCATTGATAAATTTTATGTTAATATAGGGTTTTGTTCAGATCATAATTTTTTATTTTTAACACTCTAGATATATTTTTTTTTTTTGTATAAAGGTTCGAAAAGAATAGAGACAATGATATGTTTTATCCACTAGTTAACATTTTTCTTTATCATTAAGCCTATGCTGACTTTCAGAGAAAATTGCCTATTCTTTGTCATTAGATACATTCAATTCTGTAGGCCCATTTGTTTGGAGTCATATGTTTTTTAAAAGATATATTTTAAAGGTCATATTTGATTTTCACTTGAATAGAGTTTGAAAAGTAATTTAAACACATATATGAATAGAGTTTGAAAAGTAATTTAAACACATAAATGTTTTATTGACTAATTAACAATTTTAAAAAGCTATATTAAACCTATACTATTTTCTAACAAAATTCGCCTATTATCATTGGATAGGGCCTAAACTTATGGGCTATATCTGTTCGGAATCATAATTTTTTTGAAATATTATATTTTAAAGCTCGTAACAGCTTTTCTCTTGATTAGAGCTTTGTAACAAGTATAAAGACATTATATTATATTGACTAATTAAAAATTGTACAAAGTATCTTATAAATCTTCAGACAATGTGCCTATTCTTTATCATTTGGTTACGTACACATATAATTTTGGTTGGAATAATAATTTTGTTTTGCATTAATTATTTTATTTGTTAATTAAAGTTTTTAACTAAAATATGAGACCATAGGATATTTCGTTATCAATTACATGGTACAGAAGACAATTTAACGAAGTTACTATACAGTATGTAAGTATTGCATGTACAATTATTTACTGCGTCTGCAAAAAACAATCGAAACTATAGAGGGCGCTAGACTAGTATTTTTGGTTATCAGAGATGATTGTCGCTCGTCTGAATTTACTGTGAAACCAAACCAATAGCTAGTAATTAAATGTATTTTATTTTTGTATCTTTCTTTACTTATGTATGTCCCATGCATTTGTATGAGTGTTACTGTATCAAACTGGATCCAATAAATTGATTGACCTATTCTTTACCCACATTGTGGGGATAATAATGTGATAGTCAAACCCATTGACTTCACATTTAATTATTGATATTTTTTAAATATTGATATTTATATTGATATTTCGTGGTTAACAATTACATGAGGTTTAGAAAATTATTTATTCCCGATTCCATTCGTATAACTTTACAGATTAACCTTAAATACAATATCAATCAATTCTTTTGATGTGCAATTATACATACTATTGCGTAATCTCTACGTTCCTGAAGAGGTCTCAAGTTATTTTGTGTAAGATAAATTCCACAATAATTGTTTGAATAAAAATGATTTTAAATTATTACAGCAGCATGGTTTTTCAAACTTAAAAATAATTTTTAAATCTTTTTAGACATAGTTCCCCATATTGATATTGTACAGTCCTCTGGTTCTTATATAGGAGCAATTATTCTGGATCGCAAGAAAATTTAACTTATACAAAATATTTTTAAAAAGAACCAGAAATCATTCGTTGAATATATTTTTTCTAAGAATATGTTATATATACCGAATTATTTAATTGGCGAATATGGTCATTCCGGTAAGATTTCATCAAAAAGTTTTACCAAGCTACTAAATTCAAACAATATGTGCCTATTATTACTGGATGCATATCTGTTGTTCGGAATCGCAATTTTTTTGCAATCAAAATGTGTCTAATTTTATTGAATATTATGCCTAACTCCGTTCAGAATCATTTTTTTTTTTAAATGTTACATTTCAAACATCGTATTTGCTTTTGTTAACTTTATACAATACATATTACAAAACAGGCATTGGAAAGTTAATATATTTAATTGAATTAAATATTATTAGCATTCCGTTCTCTTTTTCTAGAATATAGCCAGCAATTTTGTTTCAGTGAAACACCAAAGTAATAAATGTTGTAAAATTTTTAATTTTAATTTACTTTTCCAATAAGATAATTTTTTTGTGGGATAAGAAAATCCATAGACTAAGTACAATATTGTAGCACTAGTACAGAATAGGCCACCGTTTCGCCAACTTTGATGGGTTAAATATCTCTTCTTGTGGAAATTTAATGCGAGAGAAGACAAAGGAATCAAAATCAAAAGAATCGTGCATAAAAGTTTGGCATATGCGTCAGAGTTCTTTTGTAATGCGTGCGTTTTCAATAGTTTTATTTTCAATAATATACTATCCAAACATTTGTACTTTAGTTATGACAACTTGAAAGTTTTAGTTTTGCTAATATCAATGTGTTAGGCTTTCAGGTGAAAATTATAGCGACATTTTTCTCGTCAATGTGTATATATTAGTCAATTCAATAACCCATATATTTCTAGCAGCAAATTTAAGAATTTATTTTGTAGTAAAACATTCCCATGAACTTAACTTAGGCCTAGATCTAATAACTGTTCTCTGCTAAACGACGGACGTGATTTATTGACTCAATAAAAAAATAAAACAATATTCAACATTTTACCATGAAATTCAGGTGATAAATTTGGCCTTCGTATTGTGAGGTCAGACTGCGTCCAACAACCCGCGCAGCAGCAGGGCCACCGAGGTGGGGGAAGAAGATCCCCGGGGCCCAACCTTGCAAGGGAAGCCCATAGAAATTGCAGGTAGCATTTTTTTTAACAATAATAGTAAAAAAATATTAAAAATTTAAATAATCACTATCATGGGCCTCAATAATAACATGGGTCACCCTCAAAAAAGTGTTTGCGCCTTCTGTGTCATCTTTTTTGAGCTTTGCGCTCGTAAGTGAAGGATTACACCAACCCTTTCCCCTGTTACAATTACAAATTACAAAACAGATATTGGAAAGTTAATATAGGCCTAGGCCTATTTAACTTAATTAAATATTATTAACATTCCGTTCTCTTTTTCTGGAATATAGCCAGCAATTTTGTTTCAGTGAAACACCAAAGTAATAAATTCAGCAGTCATATTGTACAAGTTTTAATTTTAATTTATTAGGCCCATTTACTTGTCCAGTAAGATAATTTGTTCATGGGATTAAGATGGGAAAATCCATAGATTAAGTACAACCACCGTTTCGAAACCTGGGTCGCTACCCTATGTTTGGGTCCCGATAAAAATTTGATGGGTTGTATATCTCTTCATATTGTGGAAATTTAATACAAGCGAAAACAAAGGAATTACAGTATAGAACGTACAGAAACGTGCATAAAAGTGTGGTATATGCGTAAGAGTCTATTGTAATGTGTGCGTTATCAATACTTTCATTTTCAATATTATACTATCCAAACATTTGTACTTCAGTTATGAAAACTTGAAAGTTTATTTTTGCTTATATCAATGTGTTGGGCTTTCAGGTAAAAATTATAGCGACATTTTTCTCGTTGATTATTGTGTATACTAGTCTTTCAAATAATATTTCTGGCAGCAAATTTTTAAGAATTGAGAGGGCGGCAGAGATTAACTTAGCTATGGTAAAGTTATCTATACTGCTCCATAATTATTGCTTATTTCACTAATTTTTGAAATATTCTTGGAGTGAGTATATATCATTTGTTGGAGGACAAATATTCATTTGCATTGTACGGATCTTTTATCTTTGATCTGAGTATCGTCCAGAAAAAATAATTTCTGAAGCGATCATGTCTACTCGACATCCAACAATGGCGAATGTGCACCATGCCCATGGGGCAAACGACAAAGGTAAATACTTATCTAATAGAATTGATGATGCTCCAACGGGTGACGTAATCGAAGTAGAGATTCACGCTGACAGCTGTCACAAAGAAAGTTACGTAAGAGTGACAGAACAAAAGGATCAAAATTATTCAAGCGTAAAGCCTATTTTATTTAAAGATGATGACGCTCGTGAAAAAACGATGAATTTTTGAACGAAGAAACAATATACTTTGCCTTGTGTGAAGTTATTAGTGGAG